AGACGAACGCGCGTACTACAACGACATGATTTCCACTGCGCGTGAAGACAATACCCTATGCCACCTGACATTTGATTTCGCGCAGCAGCTTGAGTTGCCAGCGCAAAGCAGGCAGGTAGGGCCACTGTATTTTAAAGTGCGGTTTAGAGTGCAACTTTTCGGCATCTGTGAAGAGGCAAAGAAACACCAAACAAATTTCGTGTTTGATGAGGCTCAGTCCATTGGCCCGGACGGCTCTAAGGCCCACGGCCCCAATGCTGTCATTTCAATGTTTGATCATCACCTAAAAACAGAATGCTCTGAACAGCGGAATCTATCACTGCATGCAGATAACTGCGTGGGCCAGAATAAAAATAAGTCTGTGCTTGGCTATCTGATGTGGCGTGTGCTGTGTGGCATGTCGGATACAATTGAACTCAACTTTATGCGTGTGGGCCACACACGTTGCTCTGTGGATGCCTACTTTGGATTACTGAAGCAAAAAATACGTAGCAGCGACATCAACACAGTGCAGCAAGCTTGTGAGGCCATTGATAAGTCATGCAAGGCCAACTCGTCTTCGAACTATGAATGGGAATGGAGGGAATGGGATGCCTTTTTAGCACAGTATTTCCAGCCGGTCAAGGGCATCCGGAGCTTCCAGCACTTCCGAATGTGCTCGGAATCTCCCGGCACATTGTTTGCCCGTGTTGAATGCTATGGAGAAGAGAAAGAGTTCCAGCTCCTGAAGCCAAATATTGAGCTTGCATCAATCCCGAAGGATCCGCCTCCGGTTGTGCCAGCAGCTGGGATTTCTGCGAAGCGTCTGCAGTATCTTGACAAGGAGATAGCACAATTTATCCCAGATGATTGTCAAGTGCCATGGAAGCCTGCAGAGGAGTAGACAAGGCCTGGACATGCCATGAGCATCATTCACTGTCAACTAGGCGTATTATGGTATTTTGCCAAATTTGCCATTTTTGACCAATACTACTTCGGACTCAATTTTTCCTATTTTCGCTTTTCAGATTGTCACCAAACTTTGTGATTCGATTGATTAGTAGTCTAAAATTGTTTTCGAGCAAAAAAAAATTTTTTGGAAAAATTACACACATGCTGATTTCTGCAGGCTGGGGCTCACATCATTTTACAACAGTTATTTTGTCATGAACTGAATTTTTGACATCAAGTTTCATGCACAAGTAAATGTACTTGAAAGTACCGTAAAGTCCGGAGCAAACGCCCACCCCATGTTTGCAAGATCTGCTGGCCTGTACACACTGACCCCATGCACTGTCACCCCTACTGTACGAAAGTGCATCTCACACCGTAGCGGGAAGAGCACTTTGCTACGGTAAACTATGTCCACTTTCCTGGTTTCAAAATCTCTTTGTGCACTAGCGCTATAGCCACGATCGAGCTAGCTAGCTCGAATTGATTTTTATAATGATGGTTGTTTTATTTCGCAAATCCGAACGGGTTTTCTTCCGAATAACAAGGTAGCGAAGACCAGAGTATTGAAGGAACCAAATACACTTCTGACGGTGTTTTAAGCCATCATTTCGAGATCACACGGCGCCAAAAGGCAAATGTTTTTCTTGGGCACTTCGGAGTTTTCAACAAGTTAGTTAGCAGCGACGTTGGAGGTGTAGCTTCTGTGACATACCCTGTTCGACTTGCAACTACAATATTGGGACCAGTCAAGCCGTTGACTGACGCTTCATCAGAACAATTATTGTTCCTGACAGCGCGACATCGTGGCACTGCACAAATTTCTGCGGCATTACTCGTACCATATGGAGAATGAACTACCACAAAGACGATACATTTATTGAATGAAAAGAAATCTCGACAGAAGTTATTTCTTTGCGGGAAGATAATGACAATCGCTTTTGCACAGCCTCCTGGTAGGACATAGGCAGTTTGTAGGCATTACAGTCGTTCTCGTACGCATTCGACCTTCATGCCAGTTGTTTACAACTATATTGACCTGAAAAAGACGAAAATAGTATGGACCCGCTGGGGTGGGCGTTTGCTGCGAAGTGGGCGTTTGCTCCGGACTTTACCGTACATGTATGTTGAAAAAACTGCTCTCGCAGGTCTTATTGATGCAGGGCAAGATTAGAAAAGAGGGTCACGGCTTCCATGACTAATCAAAATAAATGTGAACGAAGAATTCTGCTGTCCCCAAAGGTCCCAAGCCCATCCAGAGTTGCACACTCCACTGCATCATGTACTCTTGCTGACATTACAGTCAGTATTAACACAGCGATACACGTACATGTAGCCAGCCTCGTCAAGAAAGAAACTTGATAACCACCATAGAGAGTGGAGTGCGCTATGTAATACTTCCTGATCTTAAATAAATTAAAATAATTGTTATTGCTGTTTGCGTGGGTCTTTTGTGTTCTCTCAGGTATCTCTGAACAGCAGAATACTATGCCGAATTGTGCAGGAAGTGTGTGATAATATCATGGAAGACTGGAATATGGTGTCCATCTTGTGATTTTTTAAAGTTATTTTTTCTCCGATTCCTTTCTTTTTCTGCTGAGCAGAACACCGAGGAAGTTGGTGCTGCGTCTTGTTTCATTCCACTCTATTGGCTGAGTAACCGAGTAACTGAGTAACTGAGTACATTGGATGTGAGAGGGTAATGCTGCTAGTGCTAGTGCAGTATGCATGTTGATTGTGTTTTTGAAAGCAAGGCATTGTCGAATTTTGTGTGTGTGTGTGGTACATGGTGTATGTGTGTATGTATGTGTGTGTATGTATGTGTGTGTGTGTGTGTGTGTGTGTGTGTGTGTGTGTGTGTGTGTGTGTGTGTGTGTGTGTGTGTGTGTGTGATTACTTTACTTCCCATTTCTTTTTTTCTGTTCTGAGTGCGTATACAATGTACATGTACCGTTGATATTGTGAATCCTGCACATGTGTATTTAGCTTCCATTGTGCGTGAGTGTGTGTGCTTGTACATTTAATTCCCATGAAGTTCGTTTTTCTTTGTGTGGGCATATACGTTGATATTGTGAATCCTCCACATTTGTGTTGTTCCTTCCATTGTCCATACAACATGTAGTACATGTAGCATCTGGAGTAGCCAGGATCCTGATTCTTGACTGAGCTATGCAAAACACGTTAAAAAGGTGGTAGCGTCTGCCGTGATCTCTGTGTGTGTGTATGTATGTGTGTGTGTTTGTGTGTGTGTGTGTGTGTGTGTGTGTGTGTGTGTGTGTGTGTGTGTGTGTGTGTGTGTGTGTGTGTGTGTGTGTGTGTATGTGTTCGGTCAGGCCGGCACGTCATGTGTCGGTGACAGGAGGACAAAGACTAAAAGAGCTGGCATAGCACCAGGCGTGGGTCGATTCACTCGTCAAACGTGACACGTGCCAGCACATGCACAGCTAGCTCAGTAAATTTATGATGAATTTTGATTTTGATGAAGTACACCATGTAGCCGGTGAAAGAAAGAAACATGTGGCGGGAGTTCTGTGCTGAGCTCTCTTGTTTCTCTGGGTTGTTTTATGTGAAAAAGAGAAGAAACACAAGAGAGCATGTATTACTGGCTCAGTATGAGAGTTTATGTTTTATGTGTATGCTGATGTGTGACGGTGTGGGCGTTTTCTGTAAGGCGGCACAAACCATGTGAGATCGGACTGTGACTGATCACGTGCGTTGCAGCCTGGTGACGTGGCTTGTTCGTTTGAGGATATAGAACTAACATACATGTATGATGTAGACCGATCCTAGCGATGGTCCTGACCTGGCTCTTTTGTTAATCATCAACAAATCACCACAAATTCTACAATAGTCATGTAGATCTACATGTACATGTCACGTAGCGTACGGATGTCCAGGATATCACTGCTGCTCGGTCTGAATAATTTTTCTTTCTTTGATCTCAGAGTCGTATTGAAAATAAGTAGATCTACCCGGGGGGGGGGGGGGGGGGGGCTATCCGGATGAATACCTGGAGTGCGGCTTGTGTTTGTGTAGCGGCAACTCAGCAGTCAGAGAACACCATGCATGCACCGACTGTTATGACAAATAATTGTAATGTACATGTACATGTATGTACAGACCGTGTCCGTGAGGTTTAACCCTGTCCGGATTATGTGTTTTCTGAAGGGTCAAAATGGAAATGTTTATTTTTTTGGAAATTTACCCAAAATGGTAAAAAAATCTTTGAAAAAATTCAAAATTTCACCCAAAATGCGAAAAATAAACTGCCGTTACCATGGCAACCAAAATGGCGTAAAACTTGAATCCCTTGTCGTTCCAAGTGCACATGGAGGAAGCGCGTGCAAAAGGATGTGGTTGTTTTCGATAGCTAGCCGAAAGGAATCGATCATTTTGTTTGGTTGGGTGGCCTCTTCAGAGCCAAGTGCACTAGCTCGACGTTGCCGATTAGCATGCAAAATATGCTCAAAATATTGAAATATGCATAAATAACCCAAAATGCGAAAAAAAGCTGAAAAAACCCCAAAGTGCGAAAAATATGCAAAACATAATCCGGACAGGCCTAGTGAGGTTTGACACGTGAGTGATGACGCATGTGTTATCAAAAAGCCTTTTTGCCAATAATCAAGAGCGCCTACTGACTATAGTATAGTAGTACTACATTCATAATGTAGATCTACTGTTGTGGACATGGAAATCCGGTCGCACGTCTAGCGGCCCCAGGGCGCTGGCCATGCAGCCGCGGATAAGCGGTACACACATGCATTTACATGATTTAATTTTATGCGTTGCAACACGCTGGATCAATGCAACATGTGCATGCACTACACGCAGCGTTCTACGCGCTGAGAGCGCCGTACCCCGCCGGTCAATCGACTGGAATTTCAGGTGCGCTGCACTGCCAGTACATCAGGTACATGCAGTAGGTCTACCAGTTAGCGTGTTGTTATGCACTTGAGTGATGACGCTTGCGTGTGTTATCAAAAAGCCTTGTTGCAAATTTTGGCCATTTCCGCTAAAAAACAACGACAAAAAAAACAAGAACCAACATACATGTAACAAGACTCAAGAGCACCTCGATCTCGCCCTCATAGCTCATATTCATAATGTAGATCTACCAGCTAGCGCTAGCGTGTTATAAGGTCAGAAAGGACTTGGTGGCACTCGCTGGTTTATCTCATCAGTTGAAGAATATTTCTTATCCTGGCGTCGATCGCTGAGAAGGTGCACTATTGGCTACTGACGAGGATAATAGTTTGTTACATTCACAACAGTGTTGCTGTGGTAATCTGCGCAGTGCGGAACATCTCTATTCACTGTGCAACTGTATCATACCGCTATCAAAACTGACTGGGGTAAGAGAATTATGTGTGTACGAAAAATGAGATGAATGTTGAAGAAACAATAGTTGACTGGCGGGCCGAGTGCGTTCAAGCAATTGTTTTCCGGATTTCAGTGTGGCAATGTGTTGTGTATCGGACATGCATAATCTTACCACCCTATCCGACTTTTCGGCCGACGAAAAAATCGAGAAGTAGTTTGGCAACTCCTAAAACTACAGTGTAGTAGAGAACGAGTACGGGTATATGTAGGTGACTCGTTTACCCATCCTTAGTTAGGCCAAATAATAATTGTTTTAACTACGAAAATGTGTTCGAACATTGCAGTGTAAATAGAAGGGAGCGAGTCCGCTCCATCTGTAATTCTGTATGAAACTGCAGGAGGCCTCACTGCTTCTAATCAAATAATAATTGCCAGGGAATTTCGATGTGGTTGACTGAAGTTTGTTTTCAAGTCAAACAACACGTGTACATGTAGTTATAAACTGACTGAAGTGATCTTTTGTATTTCACTGAAAACCCCCAAAAGTAGTTTTACGAATAATGTCCTTCGTGACTGATCTGATTGAGGCAGTAAGTGTTGGTGACTGAAATCTGGTCCATGTAAGTCAGGTAGTACTGGACACTGTGCAGCCGTAGACTTTCCAACAATGGGTTGTGCACCGCTGTATGGAAATGTATTATTCATGATCCCGGATTTCATCATGTCTAGCGCTGCGGCTATAGATATTGTGCACAGTTGCATGTATATCTGATCTGTTGTATGTTGTGTGCGTGTGCGTGCGTGTGTGTGTGTGTGTGTGTGTGAAAAGCCAGGCCAGAAAAAGTCACTTCAAACAGCTGTGTGGTGGATACCAGGCTAAAAATAGTGGCGGTCAATTCATCAGCCTTGCAAGCTGTTGAATGGTGTAATCCCAGCACAAGTTGCTATGTCTAACATAGCTGTTCGCTATCATCGCTCCCGCGATGGGCATGTCTGAGGTCTGAGGTGTGTGTGTGTGTATTTTGCCGCACTGTGTGTTATTCTCTACAGATCGGCAGTACTTATCTTCTGACAAATTCTCAGCAATCAACACCATACACTGTACGCTATACACCCGTGTACTACTGAATATACAACATCACCAGGAGAACATGTTTGCTTCAAAGTTACATGGTAATCTCAAGACTGTCAGTAAGTTTGTTCAGCGTGGTTATGGTGTGAGTGTACAGAGCATGGTAGTCCAGTCAACCTGCGGGTCAAGGTCATGTGTTGCTAGCAAGTTGACTCAGACATCAGCACGGCCCAAGCAGTCAGTTAGGTGGAGATCAGATCAGTCTGGTCGTCAAGTCACTACGGTACGTGATGCCTATGATGCCATTGATTCAATCTTTGATAGCATTGTGAAGTCACGCACTTTTCAACCCAGCTATCTACTATCACAATGTTCTCTCATTCAACGACATGTTACTGAACTACGCTATCCAGGCATGATTAGGGTTACCCTGCAGGCATGTGCTCTTGTCAATAAGGAGAACACTGAAGTGATAAAGCTGACAGCGTCTTTACTTAATCAACTAGCCAGTCTACCTACTGATGTCTGGCAAGAAAGCAAGAACCAACAGAAACTGAGATGGTCACTGCACTGGGCTGCATGGTGTCGATGTTCAACTCCAGGATTCACGAAGTTGCTACAACAGCAGCTTGATGTCATGTGCATTGAGGAATGTAGAGATGTTGATAGTTGTGCACATGCATTGTTAATGTTGAATATGCCTGATCGTCACCTGGCCCAACACTTGATGAATCGCTACCTTACCATCCAGAGTAGAGGTGATCCCAAGTATCGTCATACTCAAGTACTCAGACTACTTCTCTACTGTACACTGTGTGGTGTAGAGTGCAGTGCCTTGCTGAAGCTGATCAGTGTTGATCATCTGATACAGAGTACCGGTAAGTTTATTTCAGAATAAGACCTATAGAATAGAGACTTGTGGTCTGCTGGTGGTGGTACGAGTATTTCCTTGCAGCACGGACTTTCAATGCACATCCACACCAATATCCTGTATGTTGTCTTTATGTGGATAATAAATCACTGTGTATTTTTTCACGCAATCTGAAGATTCCAGATTGCCTGCGTAATCTGCAGATTGCGCATGCATCCTGGGGTGACACGGAAATATTTGTGGCGCCAGACCAGGTAAATCCTCGTCCCTGACCTTCCGGGATACTTCTGGGAATACGCCCAAGTACATGAACGTGTGGTGCAAAATTCACGTGTGTGGTTCATGAAATCTGTGGGTTTTGCTGAGAACCTGAAGAGCACAACAAATTCATGTGGGGCGCAATCTGTGGACTTTGTTGAAAACATGAAGAGCACAGCGAATCCGTGTGGGGCGCTTCCGTGAATTTCACTGAAAACCATGATCAGCACAGAGAATCCATGTGGGGGTGCAGTCTGTGGGCGCAATCTGTGGTTTTTGTCACAGTGTGTACTGCTAAGGAATGTATGCTTTCATATACATAATGGTGTTGGATGTTTTAGAGTGTATGTTGAATGATTCAAACTTGAATTTCCAATGAAGTTGTCATGGCAGGCTTAGGTTTGATATTGAATCATACAAAAAGAATAGAATGGGATACGGAGCTTGGGTTGGCTGTGACTCAGAGTTTCACCCCTGTGGCGATCATCAGACAGCAATGATTACAAAAACTCAATGAATATTCTTGATACAGTGGTCCCTCTATAATCCGGCACCATTTGTGCCACGAAAATCTGCTGGATTAGGGAGGGTGCTGGATTAACAAATCTGATTTACTGCTGCAATGTGCATGAAGAGGACATTTGGCTACTGAAAATTGTGCTGGTTTATCGAAGGTGCTGGATTATAAAGTGCCGGATTAGAGAGGGACGACTGTATAGTGTGGTAAGGTGCTAGTGGAATCAGAGAATTTAAGGGCAAATAAGGTGAAGCGGTGATTCTATGCATGTACTTGCAAGATCAGCGCCAGACATCAGGTGTAATCCTGGTTTATGTAACTGTAGGTGTGAAGTTAGATAGGTAGAATTTGTATTCAATCATATACAGTGAAACCTGTCTAAGGCGACCCCTCAGGGGAAGAGAAAAAGTGGTCGCCGTGCCGGGCCAGGTGGTCTTCTTATCCAGGTTCAGTGGGTCACGTGACCATATCCACATGTGATACATCATTTTGATCAGTGTATCACAGTGCACACGCCTATGCTACTCTAGCACTACTCATGTGCCTGGGGTCCTCAGACCTGTCAAGTGTCGTGCATACACCATGTACGTCTACACTTCCTGCCTGCACTGATGTGTAGATCTACCATGCATGGTGCACTATGCAATGCGTACATTTACATGTACTAGCACTGTGCAACGCGGTCGCGGGTGGGTGGTCGTTGGTCGCGTTGAGCGAGTGGTCGCCTTATCCGAGCTGTTTTGAATGTGAATGCGTCCGTGAAAAGGAAAAGTGGTCGCCATGGTCGAGTGGTCGCCATATCCGAGTTGTCGCCATTACAGGTTTTACTGTATAACATCAGTACGGTCGTTCAGTTTTGTGCAATGTTATTGCATGAGCTGATTGTCAAGTAACTGGTGGTGTTAGTGGACATTATAGCAGAACTTGTAGTTCCTTGGTCCTTTTCTTTTCTATAAATATAACCAAGAGTGTATAATTTTAAGTCTCGAGTACTCGCATTGAAGAACATGTCCATGTATCCGGAACATTTGTTTCCGGGCAAATTTGTTTTGCGTCTAAGAGCATGTCCCTGCATGCGCGTGAATACGATATCTACGTATGCACTGGATTGAAGAATGCGACCGATTAAAATATACTCATGACAACTTGAGTAACGTACTCGTGCAAAGCCATGTATGTTTGTAAACAGGACAGACATTATGTACTTACGTATGTATACAGTATTATTAAGTCACACACCGACGATGACTCATGTAGTGTTCTGACTTTTAAGTGTGAGGAGTAACACAAGTAGAGTTGGTGTGAATATGACCAATGATCACATCCAAATATCAACTACCGCTTGACATTTTCATTTTCACATTCTGAGATATTGCTGGTCTGCGTCCATACCACTGTGTTCTCCCTGCCCTTTTGGAGGGTATGTGCCCCTTTTGGCACGTGTGTGCTGGGTACGCGTGGTCGGTGTGCGGACTGCGCAGGTTGCGCATGCCTGCATATTATTGTACGTATTCTTGTTGTTTGTGGCCTTCTTCCTGAGACTCTCTTCGGAGTAAGAACAAATATCTGCCCTCTGAGTGTAGTGTACGTGGGATGTACTGGTGATTGCGTGAGTATTCGGAAGGGCTATCGTCGAGGCATAAAAAACCCGAAGACAATTGGCGCCCAACGTGGGGCTCGAACCCACGACCCTGAGGTTAATAGTCACATGCTCTACCGACTGTGTGTTCCTCTCAATTCTGTCTGTCCTGACTTCTGTGCAGAATACGATCCTCGCAATGTCCAACTGCTATTTTTGCACAACACCCTCCCTGGTACTAACGACCAGCGGCTACAGATATTGGAAACATGTGTGGTGCAGTTCCGAAAGGCTGTGGCAAGTCGGTATTCAGGTCGAATGCATGATATGCTGTCATACTTCATTGGCTCAAAGTACACCACTGGCCTTTCACTGGTTGATGGTGTGCATGTTCAAGCATTCTGCATATTCAACCAAGACCATAAACCAGTGGAGACTGACACGTATCCAGCTGATGTATACAATGGTGTATCAGTAGATATGACAGCAGCTAGACGTCATGGTTTCAGTGTTGTGGCATGTCTGGGTGTGAGTGACACTCGGTTACTACATCATCCTGTGCGCACACCTAACGGATATACCACTCTTGAGGCATCGGCACTCAAATCTCAAGGATGCTATATTATTCCGGTGAGTTCCAGTGCTAGTGATTTGATTTTGATGATGTGTGTCTTGATTCTTTAGTGACAGGGGAAAGAAAAGAGCTTGTGTGTCATGGCCGTGTTGCGGGTTAGTGACCTGGCTTAGATCAGTCTAGTGGCTATCCAGCCTCCCAGGTAAACGACCAGTGTAGTCGCCACCCAAGTTATCTAGCTCACACAGAACGACAGGTTTCTAATTCCACTTGAACCGTGTTTATTGAACTATTGCTATGCTAGATCGGAAGATCAGCGTGAAGAGTCAAAGACCCAGACAGAGCAGGGGAGAGTCGGAGTGACTCTCCCAGGATCGAGAGTGAATCGAGGGAGTAGTGAGCTCCCCAAGAGTCGAGGATGAATGTCAGCAAAACCGCTCCTTATATATGCTACATTATGTGATCAAAACTATACAGCGGCAAGAATGTGTAAGGATTATTTCTATACTTCAAACAGTGGTGCAATCAGCCAAACCGGAATGTAGTACAACGATCAATATGGGGAGTCCGCTCACCCAAATGTGAATATTAACCATCTCCATATGCTGGCATTACCTTGGTCCGCGATCCGGTAGTTGGGATGCATTGCAGCTGGCGGGAATCGTAGCTGTGTCATTCTTGTGGCTTCACCCAAGGCGGGCTCTTCCCCCAAACATAGCAGCAGACGGCAGAGCCGCTTTCCCACCAAAAGGGTACGGAGTCCACAGTACGCGAAGCACTGCAGACCCTTTACATTGTGCGATGCGAGAAGAAGCGCTACTCTTGGCCAACTAACAAGGTTATCAGCTCCCTTGCAGGACGAAGCGTGGTCCCCTAAAGCACAACAGTGTAGTGAGTACAACCCTGACAACTTGTACTGAAGGTGTCGTCGACGTACAACAACACTTGGTGGCTCTCTGCCACGAGCTGTAAGGCATGATTGCTCAACTAACGAAAGTGCCGAATCGTTAGCAGGACGATTCATGATTCTTACAGAACTCTAGAATATTTCTAGAATATTACGGAGTTCAGATTTTGGTTTGTTGAACTTAATGTATGGTCGCTTTCACGACGAGTCTAATCCTGGTCATCACATGTACACAATGAGAGTTTGGAGTGTTTGTACTGCCTCCTGTTGCACTAGTCTCGTAGTACGACTTAGTCTCACCCTTCCGAAGATGATATTCAATGACGGATTGACTATAGCAACATTTATCCCCTGGATGAGCTACACTTTTGAATTACACCACTATTTCTTGCTCTCTTGATAGGTGGTACTCAAACATGGCGCTCGGTACTCGCAGAGAAGCAGACACTTTATCCCGGATTTGCTGATCAATTATCCCCATCACATTGGCGTGTTCAAAGACCTGTTGCCAGCCAAGCAGTGATGAATATACACACTGATGTCATACTTAACACTATGGTAAGTTTACAGAATGTTAGATGATGTATTTGTCTAGTTTTGGTCTTGCAGCGTCATTGGCTGCAATGTCTAGTTTGAAAAAAGAAATAAAACTGATTGCAGAAGTATAACATAAGTACATGACATAAACAAGGCAGGCGGGGTGCTCGAAGTGGCCGTGAACGCCGCTGTCTGATGTTTGCTGAAATGTGTTAAACTTGTACCGCTTCACAGCCCTTCGTCTCTGGTGTTTGTCTACATAACAGGACATGTGTTCAGGTTCGGCCTCATTTTCTCTGTGCTGCGCTGATGAGTTCAAAAAGAACGAAACAGCATGCTGTCCGCAGATTGAGTATTTCGCTCCTGCTCTTGTAGCAGTTGAGCACTCTTGCGTGGGGTAGTGCCTTTGCTGTTTGCGTTATGCAGAGCTCACTGACTTGTCAGTTTGAGCACTCTGGCAAGGTACGTTCGGGCCTGATTGGAAATTTTTATTTCCATTGCTTTCAGGTTCGGCCTCATTTTCTCTGTGCTGCGATGATGAGTTCAAAAAGAACGAAACAGCATGCTGTCCGCAGATTGAGTAACAGGACATGTATATGGTAATGGAGTCTGTAATGAACAGCATGTTAAATTCTCCCTTCGGATGGATTTCTTGTACTTGGTGATGGACCACACTCGAAACCGTGACTGGTTGTTGGTTTTTGTGGCTGGATGAAAGGGCATATTAGACTGTATGACTGGTTGCAAGACCTGTAACTGTTCACAGGGGCCGGACTGTTCACCGAGGACCACATTTACTTACTTGTCTTTGCAACTAAGTGAATGGGCTGAAGTGTAATTTTGTCGTGAATTGAATTTTTGACATCACGTTTCATGCACAAGTAAATGTACTTGCAAGTACATGTACGTTAAAAAAATGCTCTCGCAGGTCTTATTGATACAGGGCAAGATTAGAAAAGAGGGTCACGGCTTCCATGACTAATCAAAAAAATGTGAACGAAGAATTCTGCTGGCCCCAAACCCATCTTCAGAGTTGCACACTCCACTGCATCATGTACTCTTGCTGACGTTACAGTCAGTCAGAGAGATACATCGCGGTACATGTGGCTAGCCTCGTCAAGAAAGAAACTTGATAACCACCATAGAGAGTGGAGTGCGCTGTGTAATACTTCCTGATCTTAATTAAATAATTGTAATTGCTGTTGGCGTGGGTCTTCTCTGTTCTCTCAGGTATCTCTGAACAGCAGATTGCTATGCCGAATTGTGCAGAAAGTGGGTGATATCATGTGAGACTGGAATATGGTGTCCATCTTGTGATTTTTTAAAGTTATTATTTTTCCGATTACTTTCTTTTTCTGCTGAGCTGAGTAGCTGAGTAACGGAGTAACTGAGTAACGGAGTAACTGAGTAACCGATAACTCAGTAACTCAGTAACCGAGTAACTGAGTAACTGAGTAACTGAGTACATTGGATGTGAGAGGGTAATGCTGCTAGTGCTAGTGCAGTATGGATGTTGATTGTGTTTTTGAAATCAAGGCATTGTCGAATTTTGTGTGTGTGTGGTACATGGTGTATGTGTGTGTGTATGTGTGTGTGTGTGTGTGTGTGTGTGTGTGTGTGTGTGTGTGTGTGTGTGTGTGTGTGTGTGTGTGTGTGTGTGTGTGTGTGTGTGTGTGTCTATGTGTGTGTGCTTCTGTGTGTGTGTATGTGTGTGTATGTATGTGTGTGAGTGTGTGTGCTTGTGTGATTACTTTACTTCCAGTTTTCTTTTTTCTGTTCTGAGTGCGTATACAATGTACATGTACCGTTGATATTGTGAATCCTCCACATGTGTATTTAGCTTCCATTGTGCGTGAGTGTGTGTGCTTGTGCATCTATATCCCATGAAGTTCGTTTTTCTTTGTGCGTGCATATTATGTTGATATTGTGAATCCTGCACATTTGTGTTTTCAGCTTCCATTGTCCATACAACATGTAGTACATGTAGCGCCTGGAGTAGCCAGGATCCTGATTCTTGACTGAGCTATGCAAAACACGTTAAAAAAGGTGGTAGCGTCTGCCGTGATCTGTGTGTGTATGTGTATTTGTATGTGTGTGTGTGTGTGTGTGTGTGTGTGTGTGTGTGTGTGTTCCGTCAGGCCGGCACGTCATGTGTCGGTGACAGGAGGACAAAGACTAAAAGACTCTCTCTGAGCTGGCACTGCACCAGGAGTGGGTCGATTCACCCGTGAAACGTCACTAAGTACCAGCACATGCACAGCTAGCTCAGCAAATTTATGATGAATTTTGATGTTGATGAAATACACCATGTAGCCGGTGAACGAAACAAACATGTGGCGAGAGTTCTGTGCTGAGCTCTCTTGTCTCTCTGGGTTATTTTATGTGAAAAAGAGAACTGGAAACACATGATAACATCTATTACTGGCTCAGTATCCGAGTTTTTATGTGTATGCTGATGTGTGACGGTGTGGGTGTTTTCTGTAAGGCGGCACAAACCATGTGAGATCGGATTGTGACTGATCACGTGCGTTGCAGCCTGATGACGTGGCTTGTTCGTATGAGGATATAGAACTAACATACATGTATGATGTAGACCGATCCTAGCGATGGTCCTGACCTGGCTCTTTTGTTAATCATCAACAAATCACTACAAATTCTACAATAGTCATGTAGATGTACATATCACGTAGCGTACAGATGTCCAGGATATCACTGCTGCTCGGTCTGAATAATCAGTTTTCTTTCTTTGATCTCATGAGAGTCGTATTGAAAAATAAGTAGATCTACCCGGGGGGGGGGGGGGGGCTATCCGGATGAATACCCAGAGTGCGGCTTGGGTTTGTGTAGCGGCAACTCAGCACTAGTCAGCAGTCAGAGAAAACCATGCATGCACAGACTGTTATGACAAATAATTATTGTAATGTATGTACAGACCGTGTCCGTGAGGTTTGACACGTGAGTGATGACGCATGTGTTATCAAAAAGCCTTTTTGCAAATAATTTTGGCCATTTGCGCTAAAAAACAGCGACAAAAAAGAAACAACAAGAGCGCCTAGGCGCCTACTGGTACTTTAGAATCAACTCGTAAAAACTCCAAGTCAATCTCCCATCGACACAAACCTCGTTTATAGCCGTTTCACACTCGCGTCTTTCTGTGACGTCGTTTTCAGCCAAAACGTCGACTTGCTGCACAAGTCGATTCACACACACACCGATCCCGGCCGAACACATCGTTTTGCCAACAATCAGCAACATTTTTAGCAGTCCATGGGCAAAAGAAATAACGGCATGCGAGTAGATTCAAAATAAAAATATCTTGGGCAGTTCTGTAGTTTCCACACCATGTACCAGCCAGCCTCGAGGAAGACCAAACAGTTCTCAGTTTTAGTTTTGTGGTCATTATTTTGAAAATTTCGCTTTTGTAGGTGAAGAATATTACGCCCTGCGATGGAAGCACGCGTGCTTCGGCTCTTCCTTTTGTGGCGCGGCCTTGGGCAATTGCTTCCCGATCGACATTGGAAGCGTAAATCCGGCACCAAATCCGCAACAGGCAAGCCTTGGCCTCATTATCAAACGTTTTCGTCATGGTGAAGGTGAAGGTACGAACAAAGGCACCGGTATGAAAAGAAAAGAACGGAACCTCTATGTCAAAGTCGAAGAGAACGGAACGGAAGAAGAAAAATCTTTTGACAGATATCTAGATGCAGCTAGCAGGTTGCATGCTCACTTTAAATTTCCCCGCCAAGATCTCTGCGCATGCGGTTAGGCCAGACAAGAGTCCAAGACGACAAAAAAGACGAAGACGTACGTGGCCGAAGACTCTGCCCATAGGGCCGCGTCTGCATTTTGAAGTCTTCAGCTCACGTTTTGGGGATTCCCCGAGATCGCCTAGGCAACGAAGACGAAGACGCGAATAAAGACGTGAGTGTGAAACGCCTCAACATAATCATATCCTATCCAATAAAAACAGTTTATAAAAACAGTTCATAAAACAGCTTTTTAGGATCGGACCCAGTCCGCATAACCAAGAGAGCTAGCTAGATCCCTTGGCTGCTGTTGGAATATGCAAGAATGGGCCTTCCAGATAAGGTCTAACAAGGAGAAGTGGCTATAGTTATGAAATGAACACCGGTAACCATGGAGACAGACCACACTCTCATTATAGATACTGGTTATAAATAGACCGAATAAGGAAAATGATCTGATAGCCTATGAAGAGTAAAAGAAATAATAATTGAACCAATGACAACAAATACTCGTCCAGCACACGAGTTGTCATAGCAACACAAATAACAGCTGTCCACTAATTTTGTTGTTGGAGATTGAGTAGGAGTTTTTACTGGTTGATTCTAAACACAATAAATGCTCCGGCCTTGGGTTCATGACCAATAAAAACTAACTATAAAAACCTCGGGGGACCTCGGTTTTTATAATAGTACGCACTGACCTTCAGGGCGTGGAGCGGGTGAAGCGCACGGCTTTCTACCTTGGCAATGTAGACCTTGGATGCGATGCTGCCTCAATTGAACTGTGGTGTAAAAAGAAAGATGTCGAAGTTTTTCACTGCTCAATCTCAGAATCACGGTACTTTGGTACAGCTTATGCCCACCTGGTTGTGGGAGAGACCTGTGTAGACAAGATCCAAGGGCCTGGTTTCTGGCTTGACAAAATTAGTATCCGGAAATGGAGGTTCCACACTGACCAGGCTGAATCTGAACAATGAGTAAACCAACACCTCAACTTGACCCTAACGCAACACCCTTCTATCCTTCAACGCCCCTAGCCTCCTTTCCCGTAGCCTGTATCAATGCACGTTCCCTTAGGCCGCGGTCACACCAAGCGCGATTCAGCCATACAGCGGAAAAAAGCGCTTTTTGACGTCATCGTCGCTACGGAAACGGCTGAATTTTCGGCTTCAGCCTTTTTCAGCAGTCAGCCGTTTTCAAAGCGCTGAATGGGAGCGCTGAATGGATTCAGCCACTTTCAGCCATTCTGGCGCAGTACAGTGGCGGGAAAAATAAACTCGTTCAAAGCGCATCTTGGCATGATCTTGCAGCTTGCATCGTGTTCTGCCACCTTCCGGCTTTCGTTGTTGGTGAAACTTCTCTCCTTGCCTTTTTGTCGGTCATCATGGAATCCTGGACAGTAGCACTGGAGCGGCGACTACTGGAGCGGCGACTACTGGAGCGGCGACTACTGGAGCTTTGGTTTGAAACAAAAACCAAGTATGACACCACTATGAAAAAAATACCAGAAAGAGAGCGTGGATCTTGGACGAACTGAAGAAGTGTGCTGGAGAAGGCGGACGGGAAAACAAGAGAAAATCATATTCAAAAATGAGCGGGAAGAAAAAAAACTCTAGCACACAAAAAAGTCCAGCCGATTTCGCGAAGTGGTGTGACCAACCACCCCATTCAGCACAAGCCACTTTCAGCGCAAGCGGGAAACGGCTTGTTTGGTGTGACCGCGGCCTTAGAAACAAATCTGCTGAGCTATCCGACTTTCTCACGACCAGCTGTCCCCTTGTTGTTTGCATAACTGAAACCTGGTTGTGTCCACAAATTTCCCTCTCCTTCCCAGGCTATGAATGTTTTCGAAGGGATCGACCCACCTCCGAGAATAAAATTAACACCAACGACTTCCTGGCCTATGGCGGTGTTGCTATCTTAGTAAAATCAAGTGCATTTGGTCCTATTACCCACCGTACAGACCTACATCTTCCGCAATTCGAAGCTACCTGGGTAGAGATATCGCCATCCACTGGAACCTCTGCTTGCCCCACGCGCCAGCAGCCCATCCAAATTGCGGCTGTCTACCGCCCACCGTCCACCGACCCGTCGGTGATAGATAACTTTTACGCCTCATTTCAAAGCTGCTTGACTAAAATACGGACCCCTGGCTCGCCAGTCCTCATCATGGGAGATTTCAATGCTAAATGTTCCACCTGGTATGGAACAACAACAGACACTGCAGGCCACCACCTTTCATGTCTTCTTGACATGTTTTCCTTGCAGCAACACATCACATTCTCGACCCACCGCTCCCACAAAGGCAATGAGGCTGCTCTGGACCTGATGATCACTGACACTGCAGCCAGCATCTGCGATCCGCGCCCCTCAGCCCCTCTCGGTCAGTCGGACCACTCAATTGTTCTCGGCCGTTTGTGCATCCCGACATGTACCGCATCACCACCTGCACCCAACACTACACTGCCCTCCCATTCCTTCCAGATACCTGACTTCAGTCAGTTTGACATCTCCTCCATTCTTCCCACTCACCTAGTTGCTCTAAATGAATCCATTGCTAATTTGAACTGGCATGATGCTCTCCAGTTGAAGCTTGGAGATCCAAACCGTACTGCTCCAGCATTTTATGACATCCTTCATGGTCTATGTTCCGCTTTCCTACCCACCCGGTCGCGCTCTTCAGCCCCTAGACGACGTACACCAAGTCCCCCGTGGCTGACACGTGCTGTTAAAGCTCAGCTGAAGAGGAAGCGAGACTCGTACAGCTTGTATCGCAAGTATCCTACCCCTAGCAATCACGAGCATTACAAGTGCGAACGTAACAGAGCACGAATCCTATCTAGAGAGGCTCACCGCCAGTATGTGTCCTCCATTAGCACTAACCCCTCATCCATTATTGCATCCACCCCTAGTTTGTTCAAGTTTGTTAAGCAGCTTCGTTCGCCGACCCCTGTTGGAAACCCTATCATCACTGAACTCCATGAAAATAACACTGTACACAACGACCCTACCCAGATTGCCAATGCTCTGAATCGCCAATTCATCAGCTTTGGAACACCGGATGATCCTGCATGGTCTCTCCCTGGTATTCCACACCACGGGCTCCCAGCACTACCCTCTTTTAGCACTGCTCCCACCGCCATTGCCCAACACATCCGTCGCCTAAAGCCCAAGAAGGCGGCAGGTGCAGATGGCATATCCCATGAACTCCTAAAAGCCCTGTCTCCTAGTATAGCTATCCCTCTCAGCCTAGTTTTCAACCAGTCCTTCGCCACCGGAATCTTCCCTGATATCTGGAAGGCAGCTGTGGTTGTGCCTATTTACAAGAATAAAGGCAGTAAACTGTCTGCATCCAATTACCGGCCGATTTCACTCCTTTCCACCATTTCAAAGCTCTGTGAACGTGTGGCATTTGGCCACTTATACCAACATGTGAACCCGGTCCTTGACCCGTCACAGTCTGGATTTCGGCGAGGCGATTCGACCGCCTGGCAGTTGCTGAGGCTTGTGCAGAAGCTATATGAATGCAAGGATCAGAAGCAATTTAGCCTCCTATGTTTTTTCGACCTGAGCAAAGCATTTGACACTGTCTGGAC